GTGTGGCTTGTACTGGGGCCCCCAGAGCTGGACGCAGTACTCCAGGTGGGGCCTCACAAGAGTGGAGTAGAGGGGCAGAATCACCTCAATCCAAAGGTGCAAACTGCAGAGTCCGAAGTGCACTCTGCGTATCGCATTCAGCTGTTGCCTCTACAGCTTTAAAAGCTCTTTGCTCATTTCTGCATGTTCAGACCTGGCTGTGGGAACTTCTGAAGGACTGATAGTTTGTTGACACATACCACAGCCTGTGAGTTTATCTCACTGCAGACCTTGTGCAAGGATACGTTCTGTGAGTTGTCAGAAGTAATTTGAAAACAGGCCCAAGGCGCAATAGGTTCACTGAATTGGGAAGTATATTGTTTAAGTTCTTTACCCAATGTCCTCGGTTTTGGCTGGGATAGAGTTAATTTTTCACAAGAAGCTGGGAAGGGACACAGCCAGGACAGCTGACCCAAACTTGCCAAAGGGATATTCTGTACCATATGATGTCATACTCCGTATGTAAGAGGGGAGCTGGCCGGGAGGAGGAATTGCTGTTCTGGAAGGGGCTGGGCATAGAGTTCCAGGCGGTGAGCAAATTGCATTGTATATCATCCGCTTTGTATATTCTAAGTACTGTTGTTGTTATTTCCCTCCCCCTTTGCTGTGCCAGTAGACTGTCCTTACCCCAACCCACGAGTTTTACTTTTTTCTACCGATTCTCCTCCCCATCCCACTGGGAGGAGAGGAGGAGTGAGCAAGTGGCAGCGTGGTGCTCAGCTGCCAACTGGGGTTAAACCCTGACAGCCAGCCCTGACTCTGAGGTGCTTTTGCAGTGTGAAAAAGGTGAAACTGTACTTTGAGAGACATACTTGCACATGGAACCACAGTTACGTCATTGTTTGTTTGCTCAGTTGACAGCTGTGGGTTTTGTCTAGCTCTACAATTTCTGTCAGCCTGAAATTCTGAGGAATAGGCATAAATGCTGGCCATAACTTCAGCTGAATTAAAAAGTTCACGCAAGAGCCACTAAATGGCCACCCCTCTGTGGCTCCTTTGCGAATATGCTGTGATCCGGTACAGAATTCCCTTAAGATGTAGAAGATCCTGTGTTGAAACCCTGTTACCTGATTTCAAGCAAGGGTTGGCACATGGGTTTTCACCCCTGGATCAAAATGCCGTGGGGCCGGTCAGGTATTTGGAGATGCATGCCTCTTAGCTGTTCTTTTTCAACTGTTCCACTGTAGTTGCAGCAGATAGACATTGACCACAGAGAAATGTGTCAGGGCATTAACTGGGGGGGAGAGGCTCTTCTTTTAATCGTGTATGCAAGGAGTACTGTGAGACCATTCAGCAATACCCAAAGGCCTAACAGTAAAGATCGTCTCCTGTGAGGCTAGAAACTGCAGCTTGATTCTCTGCTGAGGGGCAGAGACCTTCAACCCACTTCTGCTAGATCCTACAGAGTGCCTGCTGAGATGGGCATCGCTTTTTCCTTACTGTATTAGCCCATGTCCTATACTGCAAAGCTTGAAAGCAAATAGATTTCTTACAGTTCAGCCAAAGTTTAAAAAAGAATTCTGAATTCTGGAAGAAAATATCTTTTCTGAATATAGATACATAAGTGACTGTTTCAAAAAGCGAAGGCTCCTGCTCCTTCATTCCTTCTCCCAGGATGAATCTTCTACGCTGGGCAGTGTATGTAGAGGTGCAGTCAACCGCAGGTGAAAGGTGATTCCACCTTAAAATTGCTTTCAGCTTGGCCCCAGCCTGCATAAGATATGGTATGCTTGTGCTGGTCCATACACCCACTGTAGGACCCCCGAATGCTGTAGTAGCTAGCTCAGATTGCTGGAGGGTGCTACTGGGGCTCTCGGTGTATCCTTGGAGTAGAGGCTATGAGCACTTGGTGAGCTGGACTTTTTTTAAGATCTTACATAAATTTTACAAAATAGAACAAAATTGATTTTGAGACTTTTTATGAAATTATGTTCTTTTGGGAAGAATCTGTTGTGCTCTGTATAATTCATGGTCTGGTTTGACAGGTCCCCTGTGATGGATTCAGTGACATTGAGACTCTCGGGTGCCCAAGTCATTTTTTTGAGGATGAACTGATGTGTATCCTTAACATGGAAGGAAGGTAAGAAAGAGAGGGGTTAGAAATGGAAGGGATTTTTCTCCTTTTACCAGTTAAAGAATGGTGCTATGGTGAATGCCTGACCTCAGCTTCTGTCCTTTTGTCACACTCATAAAACAACATCCCCGGGCTTACCAAAGCTGGGAAGTATTGCTGTGTGTTTCATTTTAGAACAAATTTAACATTCACAGAAGAAACCATGTAAAAAAGCTGGGAAGTATTGCTGTGTGTTTCATTTCAGAACAAATTTAACATTCCCAGAAGAAACCATGTAAGCTCTTCTACAAGAAGGAGGTCCTCTGGCTTTGTGTTGCTATTTGTTGCTTGTTTCCTTGCCAGTTCATGACATCTCTCGGGACACGTTCCATGTACCCTCTTCTCTGCAGTAGTTTTGGCTTAAGGAGTTCCCATCTTCATCTTCCTTTTTTTATTTAAACCTGGATCAGTTTGCTGAACTGATTTGCAGGATGAGGCCACAGCACCGGAGGGAAGCAGGAGTACTCGATGAGAGTTGCCACCGTGAATCCTTGTATCATGAAGCTACAACTTTTTTGCTTTTTTTCTTTTCCTCTTGTTGCTTTTCTTAGCTGTAGTAGGTTGGTACAATTTTTGTCCCCAAATAAGCATCTGAGTTTAATTCAGCCACTGCAAAATTTGCAGTTCTGTAAATTATTCAGACAGGTGAAATGCCAAGCAGGTAAATGAAGCTTTGGGTTTGCATTTGCCTCAATATTCTCATCACTATGGTTAACACTGGGCAAGATGAGTGAGTCACTGCTTCACTATACTGGTAGCATATAAACCATGATGATTTTGCTGTGATATGAGGCAGCGAGAGATTGTTCTTAATGGAGTCTAGTAGTCTTGATTAAAGGGACTGTTAGTAGAGCTGGAAAAAACATAACTGGCATGGCAATCATCTCATTTTTGCTTTTTCACATCCATTTTATTACCTTCTCTATTTGAACTGGGACTAAACATCTCTCATTTGACAACTGGCTGAAAAGCTTTTGAGTCTTTGCACTGGCCAAATGCCTCCCCATAAAGCAGAATTGCTGCTAATTACACCCTGATTAAGCTGTAGTCATTGCCATTCAGGAGCATTAGGCTAAATCATTTCCCTGGAAGATATCCCAATAAAGTAATTGTCCCTATTGAGCATCCCAATTTATTGGAAGAGGGTAAAGTGTTATGAGGTTTGATTGTTCTCCTGTCCGGTAGGATGGAGAAGGCTGATTTGACCTGTGGTCTGGAGGAGAGGAAATGTAAGCTCAGAAAGAGGATTTTTGCTGAAGAAGGAAACTGGACTTGTTTTAAACACATAGCAAGGGCAGAGGCTGGGAGTCAGTAGAATTCTAACCCGTTGCTAAAGGCCAGGGCTTGCGTAGATGCATTTGATTTGAATGCCTCAAAGTTGGTCTGTCATATTTCAGGTGACCTCTTCAAACCTGACCTGGGCAGTAACCAGCTCTCTATTGCTTCTTCTTGGGCACTCTGCCTTCACTTGTTCATTTAGAAAGTGAAGGGGCTTTACCGTAAAAGCTGTAAGGTTTTGGACTGTGTGATCTACAGGCCAACTGTTGATCTGCTCCTGCCTTTTCAGAGCAACAGGAGTGTTTTTTTCTCTGGGGATTTTTTTTTTTTCCTTCTGAATACTGTTGGACCTACATTCACATCCCTCATCAATTTATTTTTAATGGTAAGAGGATACTTTAAGTTTGACTCTGGAGTGATCCAGTCAGACAGAGGGTAATGTTCTATGAATAAAATAGAGGATTTAAGTCAGATATTCCTGAGCTGCTTTAATTAGGATCTGTGTTGTTTCCCATGACACTGTATCTTCTCAAAATGATATATTGGTGGATAAAATTGGAGATGATGGGAGCAATGTTTTGCAAGTGTCTTATATTGTGGGCTTTTTGTTGATGAGTTTCCTCTTAACGTTTACCTTTTTGGTTGACTCTTCATTGATGGTGGTGTCAGTCTTTGTTAGAAAAGCTATAGTCTCAGTTGTAAACCTGTATTCACTGGAAGAGTTAAACCAAATGTTCACCCTTAAAGTGCTTGTTTAGGGCAATACTACTTTTTGTATTTAAATGTGCAGGAAAGGTCTAACCTGGAAGTACTATGCAAAGAAAATTCTATACTTCCTACGGCAACAGAATATATTAAAAAATCTGAAGGAGTATCTTCAACGCCCGACTGATCGGCAGTCGTTCTTGGAGGGTAAGTCTTTGGCAGAAATCCCGTGTAGAGCACCTAATGACAGCTTTCCGTTGTTGTTGTTTTACTTGGAGAGAGCCTTCCTTGCTTATATTTCAACTAGCCCTTGGACAGCGACTCAGAGTTAAGTTTGGATTTTTGACGTACCTGAAATCCTCAAAATCTTGCAGTAGTTGCATAGTGTTGCATCAGAACGTCAGGATTACGTTAGCTTCTGTCAGTGCTGTGTGCTTGAATAACTGCCCATGGACAGATGAGCTGAAAAGCAACGAAGAAAATGGTAAACCACTTGTATTTGAATCTTGAGCAATGTATTGATGAAATCAGCACTAGCTGAGCATCCTAATTAGCTGACATTGCAGAAGCATGTGAACTGTGGCCCATGGGCTGAATACGGCCTCGCAGACCAACTGATCTAATTTCGAGTCAACTCCCTACTATCTCCTTTCCCCAGAGCTTCTCAGATAAGGGCAAGGAGCAAGCTGCAGGCAGGGGGAATTGTTGTTGCAGCTCATAGCCTGTGCACTGTGGCTTTCTCTGGAGAGCTGCCTGACTGCTGGACTGTTGCAGCTGTGTGGTGTAAAGCTGCGTAATGGATGGGTGGAAGTCCAGCCACGTGGTGGGAAGGCACGTGAACCTGCTGTGAAGAAAGAAAAGGCTTTTCTGTGATTCTTGTCCTCAGGCTGGTGGATTATTATCTGCTTCAAGCTTTGTTTGGAGGAGATGGTCTTCTGGATGGGACAAAACCTGCCAGGCTCTATAGAAGAGTCCCTTACTCTTGATATATACCTCAAAATGTCATAGGAAAGAATCTGTGTCACCAAAGCTGGTTCTTGTTAGTGGCAATAGACTGATGAACAGACTGTATTGGGGCAAGAAGAGAAAGCTGAAAGTGGCTTTTTCCAGAAACAACCAAGACGGTTAATTATGTGACTTAACCATGCAGGCCAAAAATACGTGCATTTCTCTGCCATGGAGGTATTATTCCAACACCGAAAGGTAGTCATTTGTGAAACTTCACCTGGGAGCATGGAGAGCGCTGGGCGGGGGGGGGAAGAAGACATGGCTTGGGGGTCTGCTGAAATCCTTGAAAACAGGCCTGCCATGGATGTGCTAATGAAGCGGTGTAGGAAGCTGGAAGAGGTATGATCCACGCAAAATTCTTGCAAGTGAATACAGCTGATTCCAAGAACAATATGGAGGCTTTGAAAAGAGTGGTGGTGTCACAAGATGACAAGGAGAAGATTCTGAGAAAGGGCTATTTTTTCCCTGCAGAAGTTTGACGGAAGAGGTTTGGGCAGAAGGAAAATGAAAATCTGTTCTGTTATAGTCAGGTTTTGACATGAAGATGGAGAGCAGGTGTGGCAGAGAAAGATGAATCTAGCAGAAGAGGGAACGATGAGCAAGAATGATAGTTGTGGAGGGTATGGCAGGAAGAAATCAGAACTGAAGCAGAAGTGAAGTTGAGATTGTTTCAGGCTCTGAATAAAAACCGTTCAAAGTCGGGAGGATGCCAGGAGATGCAGCGTGACTGGAGAGTTGGCTGGTTAAGCCTGGTCTAGCGGCATACCCGTTCCATGTACAAATCTATTGCTTTCCCTTTCAAGATTCAGGGAATACTGAATTTAATTGGCATTTGTCATGTCAGCTTATTCTTTGCATTTTATGTGATAAATCCAATATATGACTGCAAATTTTAAAAGGAAAGCTCTTGTGTTCTGCTGCGTGAATGCCTGGAATTTAGAGTAGGTAAAACTAAGCAACGAAAAAAAACTGAAGTCCTGTTTCTTATATAGTTTGTTTTTTCCAGGTGCTGTTTTAATTGACCAATACTGTAACCCGCTGTCAGACATCTGCTTAAAAAGTGTCCAGGCACAGGTGGATGATATCACAGATAAAGTGCGCAAAGTCCTGCGGATGAAAAATCCAAGGCACCCCAGCTTGGCTTCCAAGGCAGGTACTGTACAGAAACGTATGCTTTACTGCAGAGCATCTCTGCAAGTCTCGATACAAGCAGACAAGGTGAAACAGCTGTTGAATTATTGCAGCTTAAAGAGCTGTTGTTCTTTATGCCCTGGCAAGAATATTCTGACATTTGCTTAAACCATCATTCAGGAAACAGCTGTTTATTCAGTCACAGGAACTCGATAACCCAGGGTTGTCTGTCCGTCTGATGCTGTCTAAGCAGAAAGGATTGGAACGGGAATTATTCTTTTTTTTTTTTTTTTCCCCACATTTGTCCCCAAAGCCTTAAGTAGTCTTGATACCTGTAGTAGAGCTGTGGGACAGGGGATCAACCTCTTTTCCTCTGCAAGTCTCAGAAAGTCAGCAGCAATAGAAAACATATGTGCTTTATCGTCTCCAAAGGTCAAGCAGCGTCTTGCTCCTTGTTTTTTATAACCATTATCTAATGTTTACTGTCTTTCAAAGAGAGAATGATCTGTCTGTATATCTGGAGTGGCCAAGCTGGGACTCTCGGGCAGTGAAAGCATGCTTCCCGTGCCTGAGCAGCGTGAGCTGCAGGGCTGTGCCAGCACAGGGTGGTCTCTTAATTGAGACGAGTCTCTTGTGTTCTCAGTCCATATGAAGAATTTTGGTATACGGTTCATTGCATAAAGGTTAAGTACACTTGTTTTCTCAGTCTTTATTTCTTTGCATGTGTTTTTAGGAGAAGTCCTGATTCCAGAAGTGGAGCTTCAGCGACAGGTGCTTGATGCTATGAATTGTGTCTTATATGAGCAGTTAAAATACAAAGGAAACGAGCTGGACTACTATAACTCCCTGAATTCATACATTCACCAGGTATGTATTAGGCAAAAAAGGAGGCTGCAAGGCTTGAGACGTTCTATTTGTGGTATTTATTTCTCCAAAGTTAGTCAGACAAGTAATTCTCTCTGAAGATCAGCTTGCTGTACAGTCAATATGAAATCATCTTCTCGTGCATATTCTGTCTAGTTGGTGTATTTTCATTTGTGAAATCAAACCTTGGGGGTTTGCGTTTTTCTTAATATCCCGCATTTTTATCCCATTCTTATCCCCCAGGTTTTGATCCGCAGGACAGGAATTCCCATCAGTTTGTCTGTGCTTTATTTAACAATTGCGAGGCAGCTGGGAGTCAAACTTGAACCAGTCAACTTCCCTAGCCATTTTCTACTGCGATGGTGTCAAGGAAAAGAAGGGTAAGTGATCTGCTGAATTTTGAAGTTGTGTCCACAGTAATAAAAGCCAGAAAGGGTTTACAGCTCCAGACCTATACCAGAATGTTTAATTATTTTCCGTATGTAATTATAACCTATATGGAGGAAAAGATCAGACTTCTAAAGAAGTTTTCCCAGAACTCAGCTCTGCTGCTGCTGAATGATAACAGATTTCCTGAGTGTGAAATAATAGTAAGCATGAGGTAATATTTCTCTTATTTAAGAAAATTGTGAGAAACTGAAAAGAAGAAAAAAGGTGCTGATTTCATGTAACCTTTCATACAGAACAGTTGCTAGAGACCATTGCTGTTGTTCTGTGCACTCATTTAATTCTCTGAGTCAGTGCAGGATATGCCTTTGACTGGATTGTGATCAGTTTATAGAAATCTGTACTTTGTGAATGACATCAGCAGTCCAGTTCAGAGTGATGGTTTTGTCTATATATGCCCCTTTTGGCACTAGGCTTCAGATGCCGTATGCATGGGCTCTGTTTTGCTTTCCAGTGCAGTGTCATAATGTAATCTGGTGATAGATACAGCAAACCTGAAAATGTCTGAAGGCGAGAACTGGCATGATGGAGTGAGAATGTCCCCTTAGTGTCTCTGTCTTTTCCCCTATATGTTTATCAGAAGCAGCAGCTCGGAGGAGGGAGAAGGTAGCAGGTAATCTCATTTTAAGAGGGAGCTGAGGTATGAATGACACTTCTTTTAAAAATAAACTTGAAAGTGCTGAGGGAAGAACAGAAATAGGTAATCTTGCTGTACCACGAGACCCGTCATCACAATTTGGTTTCCTTGTTGTTTCATTAGAAGCACAGATATTTTTGACTACACCTACATCGACGCCTTTGGGAAGGGGAAGCAGCTGACTGTGAAGGAGTGCGAGTACCTTATTGGCCACCATGTGACAGAGGAGTTCTATGGAGTGGTGACTTCAAAAGAGGTCTTGCAGCGTATGGTGGGAAATCTCTTAAACCTTGGCAAGCGGTGAGTTGTGATTGAGGTTCGTGAGGCGCGTAAAGCCTGTGGAAAACAGGGCCCAGAGTATACTGTCTGCGTGTCCAATACTGCTTCTTCACAGTATTTAAGCGAGTGCTTTAAAAAGGTGTTGGTCACCGCAGATCTTGAAAATTCTGTATGTCATGTTGCATTGTCTAGTTGCTTTTAATCACCTGCAGCAGTATTGTGTGGAAGCAAGAAGATTTAGTAAAACTAGTTCCTCTCAAGAAAATGGACAGATCATTTTTTTCTTTGTGAAAAGCTGATAGGGACTGTCCACTGTTCCCTTAAGAGCAGAAACCTTCATTATCCTCTGGAAAGCATAACCCAGGTGCTCAAAACAGCAGTTTCAAAGGTACTGTTGGTTTGTAGAAAATCTGATTTTATTTTCAAATACCCCTGATAATCACTTTCCCAAGTAGCTATAGACAGAAATCACAGTGTGAAGGGTTAGTGGTGGGCTCGGCAGTGCTAGGGTAGCAGTTGGACTCGATGATCTTAAGGGTCTTTTCCAACCTAAATGATTCTATGACTGCTTTAGGTGTAATTAAGCTAGGGGAACAAAAACAGATTTCAAAAGGAGTGAGTTCTCTGTGTAAGATTATTTGATCCAGTAGAATACCAGTGAAGTGGGAGGGTAGAGTGCAATCATCAGTCAAGTAGTGTTTTTCCTTCTGAGCAGGCTGTTGGATGTCAAGAGTGACAGTCAGCCCAGAGTCACCCTTACTGAATGGGCGTGCCTGTACCTACAGCAACATTTTTAGTGACTATCCCGGTACTCCAAAGTACTGGGGATAGGGGTAGAAGAGCTGGCCTTACAACTGAGTTTCTTTTTTGCTGGCAGAGAAAGCACTGATCAGTCTTACCAACTCTTGAGAGACTCGTTGGATCTATACCTGGCCATGTATCCGGACAATGTGCAGCATCTGATGCTCCAGGCTAGGTTGTACTTCCACCTGGGAATCTGGCCAGAAAAGGTACCTCGCCGCTCGGTCGTATGTTTTCTGATAGGCTAAGCGCTATTAACACTAGTCTATTGATTTTTGGACTATGTCAGTTTGCATTACAGTCTGCCACAAGTTGTTTCTGTAATAAACACAATTGAACGAGTTACCGCATTTCAGAGAATCGATTTCTGCTATATGAAGCAGGGAAAAGAGAATGATTCTTTCTTGCTTGCCCTAGAGGAGGCTTGTGAGTAGCCTTGAGTCTGACTCATAATGTACGATTTACTGCCCAAGTCTGACAGATTATCTTGCAACCGATACTGCGGACTTCTAGCTGCAAGTTATAAGAGCATTCTTTTTGCTTTATGCCTAGATTATGGTAGTGGTGGTAAAGCTCTTGCTGGACTCATGTAAAAGGAGCAATTACCTTATCAGAAAACTTGTAGGAAACTATCTTTTGTAAATGCGACCAAAGCTGTTCTCTGAAACCTTAGCCACATAATCAGTAGCTCTTGTGAAAAAGCAACTTAAAAGGAATCCCAAGGTCAGGAATATTAATACTACCTTTAACCTAGAAACCTTGTGTTCTGCCATCTTGTGAGTGTGGGAAAGAAAGTGTAGAGACCTGCAAGTTGTCTAAGTTGCGATCCCTGTCTTTCACTGAATTTGGGGAAGTCACAGGGAGAAAGCAAGTAACTCAAAGTATTATTTCTTTAGTGTGTCCCTACAGCAAACAGGTCTTCCTTTTCTACTTTAATTCCTGTACTACTTCAGTGAAGCTCATGCACTTGGGCAATGCCTGTGGCATTTTGAAATGTGAGCTTTGGGCGAGGGGACAGAAGCGTTGGCTGGACAGCTGAGCAGAAAGCAAAGCTCTTCGCACTAAAGTAGCTGAAGCTTAGGACTGCTGGAGAAGCTGTCTTCCTTTTGAAGAGCAAACTGTGCTAAGCTTGCAGCTTCTTTCTTATGGCAGCAAATTTTAGGGTTGCTATAGAAAAAAACAGCACAAAATAAGAAATTGTGTACGTGGGGGGACTCGCTGAGCTGAAATGGCAACTGTACATAAACAGGGGACAGGTACGTGAAACACTGAGAGATCTTCTTTACCCTTTCTGGCACTCAGCGATGTGTTTGTAAAGCACCACGACTTTACATACTTGCATTTTGCCGCCTCTCAGAACAAATAATACAACTCTATGGCTCAGTTTTACATGTAGTTTCTCTGCACCATGTTGCCAGATGCAATGAAAATGTGCAGATCTGGACTTTTTAGTATTGCATCCTCACATGCATCCAGTCATTCCAGGCTGTTGGGTAGGATTTTAGCTAGCCAGAGAGAATGCTCAGTCTGACAGAACAGAAGATACCAGATATAAGAGGTCTGCCAGATTTATGGAAAGTGGTACAAAATCTTAAAAGTCAAGGAGAGTTACCCAGAATGTTGTCCTAAATGTTTGCAAATAACAGTTAATTAAATTGCCAAGAATCTCTGGAGCTATGGTCATTGTGCTAGGCCTTCCCCTTTCTGTGGAATTTTTCAGGAGTTTCACATCCTTCTTAAGATTCCAGCCAGAGAATTAAGATGGCCAGGAAGCCTGAGCTGTGTTTCTTCTTCTCATACCTAATTACTTACCTGTTCTTTTTCTGAATTTATTTTCTTCACCTCTTGGCTGATGTTCATGCTAAATACCCCAAGATTTCTATTACTCTTCTGCTGCTCTGAACTTAGGATTGACCAAAACTTCCAGCGTGGGATCAAGGAGACAGTCTTTTTGCCAGATGTGTTAGATGTTTGGAATTGTGGCAGCACTTGAGGTATTTGATGTTGGGACGGATGTATCTGTCTTCTCCCAACCTATTCAGACAACAGTTTTGGTAAGAGCAAGAAAGAAAAAGAAAAAGAAAAAAAACAAAAAGAAGTAAAACTTGCATTGCCTGCCTCTAACAAAGTTGGCAGCAGATGCTCTGATAGTGTGCCAGAGGGTGTTGGTAGGCTGGTAATCTGGATTTACAGGGTTTGCTGCTTTGAGAGCACCCGTGAAGTTAGTGTTGTTCAGTCATCCCAAGACGAGCAGGTTCTCCGTCTCTTGTTCACTATTTCATGGTATAGCATCATCGAGGTTATTTGCATTTCCTTCTGTGCTGCGCTACTTTTCCTCTGCCAGGCTCCCACAGACATGCTGAGGAGCTCTTTTAAACTAAAATGTTTGTTCTCAAGTACAGCAGAAGTCATCTGGAATCACTTCACAGCAGCAGTATTCTCTTAACATCTCAGAAACCTTGAAATGGTCTCATCAATGCCCTGCGGTCACAAAATGTGGCACAATTAGCTTGTATGACTTAGTTTTAGGGAGTTACTTTGCTCAATGCTGCCTCTCCTTGGAAGTAGGAAGCTTTACAAATAGAAAAGGAGAGGACCGTTTATGATTTCTGCAGGCTAAGCAAGCGTGAAGAACTCCTTGGGAGTGTGTAGCTAGAGCAAAGGTTCTCAGTCCTCTGAGGAAAACTCATGTGGCAGACCTCTAGACCTGGGCAGTTAAACCCAGCGAACTTGAGAAACGTATCTGTATATATTTGTAAGTGTTGGACTGCTGTAGAGATGTGTTCTGAATCTGTCTTTCTGGTTTGGTTGCTGAAGGTTCTGGACATCTTGCAGCATATTCAGGCTTTGGACCCATCCCAGCATGGGGCTGTCGGGTACTTGGTTCAACATACCCTGGAGCATATTGAGCGCCGGAAAGAGGAGGTGGGACCTGAGGTGAAGCACCGTTCAGATGAGAAGCACAAAGAGGTCTGCTTTTCGATCGGGCTGATTATGAAACACAAGAGGTGAGCTCTTCAAAACCTTCCCCAATTTAGCAGGCTGTACTGTAACAAGTGCAGAAGTCTTTGTTCTGACAGTAATGAGATGTGGTTTTATCTACCAAGGAGGTACCTGGAATGGAAAATGCCAGGCACGTGCCTCTGTGCCGTGTACCTCGTAGAAAAACAGGAGCAGCTTTGTCTGTCCTTTGAGAGAGCGAGTGTATTCACTGCTGTTTGCTTGCAGAGAGAAGTTTGTGGGGTGACTTGTCTGAGTCATCATAAGGTAAAATTTCAACAGCCCAGAGCTCTTGAAGAAACATCAGTAATCAATTAATGAGGGACCGTGGAACTGAATCAACTTCAAAAGAGATTGTAAGACTCCTGAGACAGCTCGTGAATCCTTCCCCGTGCTATTATTACCCCCTCTCCCTGTATTGCACAAAGGCTTTGTGTTCCTCTCTGTACTACTCTGCCAGAATGACATGCCAGCACTGTGTTGCTTCGGCCGCTCCTCCGACTCAACAAGACATCTGGAGCGTATTTTAAGGGCATCAGCAGTGACAGTTATAATACCTCATGATTAATTGCGTAAATATTCTGAAAATAATGATGGCTTTGTTTCTGGGAGTTCAGTATTGGGATTACCACATCTGTGTGACGGGCACAGAAGTAACTGCACAACACAGTAGGATGGTTGATTCCCTCCCTATCTCTTGTTTCCTGTTCTCCCTGTTGCTGACTTCCAGTCTCTTTCCCATTCTCTTTTCTTGTTCACATTTGGTTTTCCTTTGTCCTCAGCTGTTTGTTCCTGTCTATTTATCCAGTCACTCCTAGTCATTTCCCGCCACGTCAAAATACACTCACGTAGACATGCAATCTTTTTAAATTGCTTTTTTTTCCCCTCTTGTTCTTCTCCTCCTTGTGCCAACTTGCAGGAGGTTCCTATCCTGCTTGTGCTATATTAGTCTTGAGGAAAAAGAGCTGGTTCTAGAGTTTTCACAGTCTTTGGTGTGCAATTTTTTTTTAATTAGATATGGCTATAACTGCGTGATTTATGGCTGGGATCCCGCCTGCATGATGGGACATGAATGGATCCGGAATATGAACGTCCACAGCCTTCCACATGGCCCCCACCAGCCTTTCTACAATGTGCTAGTGGAAGATGGCTCTTGCAGATATGCTGCTCAAGGTGAGCAGGAGTCTCGTGTGTTTACTGTCTGTTTAGAAGTACATTAGGAGAAAGGCATGCTTAAGTGACTAACTTTTAACTACAAAACATAAACTGTTAGTTAAGGTGGAGGTAGGAAGGAAAATGATCGTGAATCATGGTCTGCTTTGTTTGCTCTCCATGAAATCAGTACTGCCAGGAATGAACGTTAAGGACCACTCTGGTGTAATCGCCTCTTGCCCAAGAAGTGTGTTTTGGACGTGATTGATTTTATGGTATAAACCATGATTGCTGCTTGTGAAAGAAGTATTCGGCTTTTGTTGAAGTCTGTCAGCAGCTCTTGCTCTTTTAAATTATAGCTATGCTTTGGGCAGGACCTTGAAATAGGATCTAGTGAGGGATCACGCAGGCTTTGCTTGTCAGGGCATGGTTCTGAGCAGCTGTCATCAAGAGGCTATGTGCCAAGATCCCAGAGAGCACAGGTAGCGTGGCTTTTAGTGCCACCTCTAATAAGAATGGGACAAAAATGAATGTCTCTTTGAGTGCGAAGAGGTGTAGAAATCTCTATCACCAGTGCAACGTACCATAAGAAAGGAAATTCTTGTCTGGTGGTCAGAATATGAGGTTAGGATACAGGAAGAAGTGTCAAACTGAGGTTCAAAAGAAAAAAAAAAAAGAAAATACATCTATAACTCTGTCCATTGTAAACAGTGTTTCTTTGCCTCATGTTTGTTCTTCTCCCTGTGATCCGGAGGCATCCCATCCAGGTGGAAGGACAGCTGCACAGCCTGATTCTGTTTTGCTAAGAGAAGCTGTGGAAGCTGCTGGAGGGGAAATGCTGAACAAAACGCAGTTCAGCTCTTTCACTAGGGGGTGCTCCCTAGCATGTCCTGCCCCCTTACATGTGGTTTTACAGGAGGGGACACTTCTCACTGTCCTGAGAGTTACTTTATATTCAGTAATCCAAAAAGATGAAGTGGGGACTGGGACTATCACAGCTTGGCCTTATGGCTTGTATTAGGCAGTACTTGGCCTCTGAGAGAGTCTTAAAAATTCTTATGTGCTGTGGGTTGATAATATAATATGCATCTCAGTCAAAACTAATCAGATAATGGTCCACAGTGCTTCTGGGGTGAGTCATCTCTTATATCTTTTGTCTAGTTGTTTATAAACAAGTATAATGCTGACTGGTTCCAGGGCACAGCGTATTTTAGCCAAGCTGTAGGTTGACACTGTTGTCTCTGTGGCATCCAAGTGTTTTGGCATTGCTAGGAAAACCGGAAGGGTTTGTCCCTGCTTGCTGAGATCTTGCTGCCTGACTATTGAGTATCCCCTCTAAAATACATCCTCATATCTTTTGGGAAGGAACTATTTCATAAGTCACTGACCTGACTTTGGGCAGGGGATGATAGTTTTTTATTGAAAGAATCTTAAAGAGATCTGCACGCAGAGTTTTATCTAATCAGCTCAGAAATAACACCAAACTTACTCTAGGCAATTGTACCTCAGTTTGAGTCCTTCCTGTAAATTCGTAGGTTGAGCTGTAGCTAATTCCAAAACACCTGTTTCATACAGTGAGTTTGGTATCTACCTGTCCGCTCTTGCCTTTCTTTTGTTTGCCTTGCAGCAGCACAGGCCAGATATCTGTGGCTCAGAGCTGCTAGTCAGCATGTTTCTCAGGCTCACCACCTAGTGCCGAACTCGCTTGTCTCAGCCTCTTCCCCCCTGCCAGCTTCTGTTTCGTCACTGTGCTTTTCCCTTTGTACACAGCTCGCTGCTCAGCCGTGCTTCTGCAGAGCATAGTGGAGTGTAAATTGTTTTCCGCAGTGGTGCAGTGTGCGAAAAGGTACTTTGCAAACCCGTAGGACTGCACCAGCCGACTGAGGTGTAGAAAGCTCTGGTGCTTTTGGCTGCACGCGCTGACATACAGTACCTTCAAAGAGCCTCTATGGATTAACGTGACTTCTGTGTGCTCTCTGCAGTGAACTGAATAGTTTCAGAGACAGATGAGTTATTCCTGAATGATGGTCTCTCTGTCCCATCTTGTTCCTGCCCTGCCTGGCAGATAAGTCAGACATTGGGACTTAGGCAACTTTCGTTTCTACCTGTATATCTGGCACTGTGCTGGGAAAAATGACATCATTTGGGGACTGCTGCAGGGCACCTGCACATGTGATTTACTGCTGGCCTGCCTCCCAGTCACATTGCTTTATACAAATACTGCGGGAGCAAAGGGACCCTCAGCTTGGGTCACCTTTGCGTTTTAATGCCAGTGCTTCTGTGGTGTTTAACTGTTGTGCTTAAACAGGTTATCTTTTAGTGCAAAGGAGGAGATGGAGTGCTCTGGGAAAGAATCAACGTGCTCTTCTTAGGGACTTTCTTGTAACTTTGGGAAGTTTGGATTTGGAAAAGTTAATTTTGCTGTGCAAGACGTGGTTGAAACACAGGCTGGTGACTTAAAGCAAGAAAGCACTCAGCTCCTCTACCAGGACAACCTTGTGCAGCTGGCCTCACCTTGGAGCATTTGAGAAGGATCTGTCCTAGGAACTGATCTCCCATGGGACTTGAGGGATCAGAGCTCAGTGCTGCAGCCTCTCCCTGCGTGTACAACCAACACCTGTGACCAACAGAGTGGGAGCAGGTCAGCGTCCCACCACTCTAACCTAATGTCAGACAGTGTGGTCTCAGGCGTAAAATAGTTTTCATGCCACTAGGAAATGGGGTCAGCATCGCTTACGAGATGAGGCTTTGTGAGCAATCATACTGGCGTACTCTGTGCATATTTTCCTGGATCAGGGATTTTCTTTTCACTTTAAAGCCTCAGGAGGTAGTGTTTCTAGAGACCAGAAACAAGACTTGAGAGGTGCAGGATTAATTGCCTTGCAGCAGGCCATTTCATGTGGTGATAACTGATTTTTTCCTTTCCTAACAGAGAACCTGGAATATAACTCTGAGCCACGAGAGATCCCTCACCCTGACATTGGCCGCTATTTTTCAGAGTTTACCGGCATTCACTACCTACCAAATACCGAGCTAGAAATTCGGTACCCAGAGGATTTGGAGCTCACACGTGCCACAGTTCAGAAGATCTATGGTTCAGGCAAGGAATGAGTGCAAAAGGCATCATGAGGACAGAAGCAGCCAGAGTGTAGCTTTACCCTCTTTGCAAAACTTGCGTGGAAGGCAAGTTTGGTGACAATCCTTTGGCTTAATGCATTGAAAACTGCATTGAACTTTGTAACTGGTGCTATAGCATCTTTCCGTTGCCTGCCTGCCCATTCTGGCCCAAAGGCACAGGGACACGTTGGTAATTGAGGCAAAGCGTAAGGTTCTTGCAGAGACAGTCGTGCTAGGAAGCGTGTTGTCCTTTGGAAGGACTTGCGCATACTACTCATTCTGTGACTGTCTTGGTAGAAGGTCAACACAGTGAGATCCCTGGTGTGGAATACGAAAGAACCCCTTCTTCCAGGGAAAGAAGTTGCTTGTCCTTGCAGTATTGTGGATTTTTTGTTTGGTTGTGCTTTTTTTTTTTTTTTTAAAATGTATATCTCATGCAGGTGATAGTTTTTAAAGTCTCTTACATTTCACTGTTGTTTTCTCCAGTCTGAATTTTTGGTCAGATTTTGCTTCACTTCTGTAGTCTGATTGTTCCCAGAGCTACCATTCTGATTCCGAATATCCTTATGGGCATGGGAAAGAGCCCCAGCAACAAAAATGGCAGCAACTAGGCTTCCAGGGGTGGCAAGCTCAGTGGTAACACTGAGGTCTAGTTGGCCACCTCGCTGATGGTACGGACTCTCCTAATGCAGAAGATGAGCTTCTCGCCTTTTTTCATGCCTGCCGAACACACCCAGTCCACGTTCTTAACTTGTTTTTCGGTCTGTTCATCGTGTATGTCTGAGGCAGGACCTGTGGCACAGCCATGAGTGCTCCCAGGATGATTTTGAACCTTGTGGCACTGTTTCGTGGAGGTCAGTGCCAGAGTGACTTTGCTGGATGGGGAGCTTGGGCTCACTGCCGTCTCCAGTCTATAGGTATTTATGCGGTACACTGGGATCGTGACTGGAAACTGGCCAACTCTGGAGTCAGCCAAACCGTGTACGGAAGAGAGATGTTAATTCCTGCAGCTTGAGGCCTTCTTCCTTTTTTTGCCAAAAGAGAGCAGATTTTGGGGGAGTGCATACTCCGCTGCCCAGAAGGGAAGAGCTTTAGCATGGGCTCAAGGCCCGTGAATTTTAACATGACTTAAAGGCCCAGACAGAACCACTGCAGAAAAGGTTTCTCCTCTGGGTTCAGGCGTTACGGGGTGCAGAGTGACACAGTGTTTGTGCATACACAGAGCCTGCATATCTTTGTGGTTTCTGAAGCAACGTCCCTAGACTAGCTCAGCTAGTGTCTCCTGTCCGCTTGCAATACAGTAGTTACGTCAGAGGTGAGAATTAGGTACTGTCCCCTGTAGAGTTAGGTGGATGCTCGTAGCCTATTATAGCACTTCAGGTATCGCCACGTGAAATCGCACAGCCCTCCTCTTAAAAGAATGCTTGAACTGCATGCCGTCCTGTTGAAATACTGAGCACTGATTAAATATGAGAAATAAATACTGAAAGCCCAGCGCTTTTGCCGGCGGAGTGGTGGTGGTCTGCAGGAATCTTGGTGCTTTAGGAAGAAGAGCCCTGTGTGGTTAGTGCTGAGGAATGGTGAAGGTGCTGTACTCCGAGTAGAATTATGTCTTTAAAGAAGTCTGTACCGAAATGAACTTGGAGGGAGGGAAGGAGGAAGGGACTGAAGAATTACTCCTGAAGCCGAATGGATCCAGCTGAAGGCAGGTTAGGGAATCATTAAGCAAAATCTTAAAATCCCATCTCTTGTTTTTGAGTAGATCCCAACCCTCCAGCCCTTTTTGAGAGTTGAAAGCAGCTCCCACAGGATTCCTAGCAGGGATGCAAGGTTGGGAGTGGGACTGTTGAGTCACAAGGTTGATGCTGGTAGCTGAGAACAGGCAGGCAGGAGCAGGGCTTGGGTTCCCTGTTCCCAGCCTTGGCTTTGATGAGCGACAGCATGGATATCAGTGAGTTTCCTGGGGCTTTACGCTCCCCTCCACCACACGGGCAGTCTCTTGGCACCTTGCCCCTCTCAGGTGCATCAGGAGAATTGCCACATGCCGAGCTCGTAGGAGGCTTTAGCATGAGGAGCTGCCTGGATGCCAGGTAGAATTGTGCCATAAAAAAGCCACAGGATTTAACAGAAAGCTGCCCAAAGTTCCTCTGAAAACTGGTGCTGGACAATGCATACCTATCCCACTGAAAACACGCTGTGTGCTTTAAGATGGAGGTCCCAGAGAAGCCCGCAGAGCCCATTATACCCATCTTTCTGGGGCTGCCCTGTGTTTAGACTCTTCTCAGAGTCTGGACAAGGAGGAAGCGTGGGAGCCGTTCCTCACGTGGTTCACGCACACTTCCCCCACTCACAGACTCTTAACCATTTCCGTTTTTGCATGGGCTGCAAAAGGGGAGTGCTGCTGCACAACAGGGGACAGACACACCGCAAGCGACTTGGGTACACGAGGCATCCTGGCCACCCCCATAACTAAAACCTCTCATCCCTTTGGCAAACGTTTTGCGGAGGAGTTGCGTCCTCGGGCAGGTCTGCCTGTCTGCTTTGCCGTGCAGACCATGTCAGCGTGCGGTTATGTGGGTTGGTGTCCTCCGGGAGCACCGACACAGCCTTGGACGTGCCAAATTCAGAAGAGACCGGAGGCATCTCGATAGGCACCACGTGACATCAGTGCAGGGTCCCAGTCTGGTTTTGGGACTCCAGACAAAACCAAAGGAACTGGTGTGTAAAGTCTTCTCCTTCTTGTTCCTGTTTTGGTTAGGCATGCCAGCTGCCCCATGGGGTGGGCTGTGTGGCGTGCTACGGGTCGTGTCTTTGCCTTTAGCGAGGAGGAATCCCCATGTAAGTATTTGTAGCTGTGGGAGATGCTCAGCCCAAGTGTCCAGGGTGGCCGGGGAAAACTGGACAAATCCCCACGGTTACCTCTCTGGCCCTGCTTGAGCAGCCTCTCGAGATGCACAGCAGTTCCCACAGGCTGAGCACCCGAGGTCCAGCACCGCCGGGAAACACCTCAGTGGGTTGGTGGCGGTCATGTTAGGCGTTCACCTGTGCATCAGGTGGCTCTTCTGTCCCCCTGGGAGCACAGGCATCTTTGCAGTCACCATTTCCCCAAGAAGACAGCAGTGGATCCCAAACGTTCCTTGTGTCCGTGAGTAATGTCTGCGTCCGCGTGGATGTACATTATGTTAAAGGCGGTACATATGCATATACATCACAGTTTGTCCTGTCGTGTCTGTGCAGAGCTCACCTGGGAGAAGGGGTGTTTTGCTTTCTGGAGGTGGAATTGCTGCCCTTCTCTTGCTGACCCACTGTCCCACCAAGCAGAAAGCCTGTCCCCCTTGCTCTGGTGCAGTACCCACCTCCCCTGGGGCAGAGGGGTGGGTTTCCTGCAACCAATGCCGTCTATATCATCTTTCTCCCTTTTTGGTCCTGTCCCACGGACAGAAGAGCTGCGTGCTGTCATCTCCAAATGGCTTTCTGGAGGGCGAAGGAAAAAAATACAGAGCAGGGGAGAGAGGAGGCTGGGAGGGGGCAGGAAGCAAGTAATAATTGCGTCTGGTTCGTTAGGGAAAGGCACAGAGCAGCAGTTGTGGGCTGGTTTTGAGCAGTGCCGGGGGGTTGGGGGGTTCGGGGGTGTTCTCGGACCTGTGGGGCTCGGGGTTGTTCCTGGACTGCCCCCAGCAGGGATGGAGGTGGGTTGTGGGGCTCGGGGTTGTTCCTGGACTGCCCCCAGCAGGGATGGAGGGCTGTGGGCAACAGCCCCCCCCGGGGGAGGTTTGTCCTGCCTTACAGGACCGTGTCCTGATGTGCTGCTGCCTGTGGGAGAGACTGAAGAACTGCAAAGTCTGTTCCCGGGGCAGGGCAGGGACAGCTAATGGTGCAGCATCCTCTCGGGAAGGCCTTCCAAGCCCTCCGCACCCATCCTGACACACAGGGCAGGGTGCCCTGCCAGCCCCTGGAGCGAGGGCACGGCGTGTGGCCTCTGTGGTGAACCCCAGCAGTTTGTCACCAACCTCTGCGGGGGGAAAACAGAGGCCCCAAGACCCTGCGCACCAGCCAGCCCTGCCTCCAGCCGGCGGAGAGCTGCGTCCTCTGGGGCTCTGCTGCTGAGCACGGGAGGGTGAGGGGAGGATTGGGGCTGGAAGGGGGGCCCCTGGGGATCTTCTGGGCCCTTCCAGGCCCCCTTCACATCCACACCAGGTTGCTCGGGGTATTGACCTGACTAGTTTTGAGCATCTCCAAGAGACGTCACAGCTCTGTGGGACCTACCTGCCTCCTTTGGTGGCTCTTTCCCACGCAGGGACTGACTGCACGGACAAGGACAGAACGGGGTGTGTGTTACCCCCTCTCCTACCCTCCTCCTTTTGCCTGGGCTGAGTGAAAAGACACATTAGATGAAAAATTATGTGAAGGATTAGGACCCCTGATCCGCAGGGTCCCCCCAACGCTGACAGCTGAGGTTGCAGGATGGGGACATCTCTTCTTTTTTTTTTTTAAAAAAAAACAACCAGGTATTTCATTGGATGTGGGACAAAGGGAAGCTGGAACTGATTTGGTTCCTTTCCTGTTTATACTTTGGCTTTAAAAAAATAAAAATAAACCGCACTGACTTGCTACCTACTGCTGTAGCGCGCTGTGTTTTCTGAGCTGCCTCT